CCTTAAGCTCTGCTCTATCTTTCCTCAATATGTCCATATCCTTCGTGACACTATCTTTGAATTCATTAATTTCTTGAGACAACTTCTGAATTATTTCTTTGTTCTCTATTTCCCTCTTTTCTTCCATTCCAATTATCTTATTTTCCATCCATATTCTGAATTCTATTTCTGACATTTCAGCAATTTCTCTGTGGATGGAATTTTCTGTTGCCTTTTCTTTGACATCCCTAGGGGAAGTTGATCTGCTCTGATTTTTCCGGTTGCCAGGGTTCTTCTGCTGATTCCTCATCATGAGTATTTTCATCTTCTTCTTCTCTTTATTTTTTTAATATGTGAATTATACTTTTTTAGTTAAATTGATAGGTTTTCCCTGATGAGTCCACTCCTCACTGTTGCAATACTACCACAGCACTGACAAAGGTAGACATGCAGTGAATCTGCAGCTCCAGACAGTGTCTCCAGGAGAGATAAGAATCAGTAGGCAGCACTGGCCCAGAGTTCCAGTCAAATTTGCTCTGCCAGTGCTGGCTCTGCCCACCAAATCAAGCCCATGAGGCTGCCCTGCTGACAGCACTGGCCCAAAATTCAGGAGAGATGCTTATGTGCTGGGCACTGCCCAGCCAATCGAACTCAGAGGGCCACAGCTCTGTGGACAGGGTAGTCCCAAAACTCAGACAAAATCACTCAGGCACAAGGCACTGCCTGCTCAGTCAAGTGCAGGGGGCTGCCGTCCAGTGGGGGTGCAAGTCTAAAATTCAGATAAGAGCACCAGGCACAACCCACTCAATTGAGCTCAGAAAGTCTCCACCCAGTAGAGAGTTCTAATCCAAAGTTCAGTCCAAAGTCACTTAAACCCACCCAATTAAACTCAGAGAGCTCCTCCTGGCAGAGGCTGGAGGTACAAAGTTCAGTCCAAAGTCACTTAAACAGTGGCCCACCTACCCAATCAAGCTCAGAAAGCCATTCCTGGTAGAGGGGGCAAGTCCAAAGTTCAGTCAAAAGTCAAAGTCATTTCAGCACTGGCTGTGCCCACTCAATGGAGCTCAGAGGTTGTGCTGTTGTTTTTCTTCCACTTTCTTATTTCTGCCACTTGATTCAGCCCGGGTGATGTGTACCTCACACAGTCCTCTCAGTGTGGAGCTCTTCACATTTGTCTTCCATCCACTTCTGTCCAATATCTCTCTCTTTGGGTACAAGCCTCTGGCAAAAGCTGCTTCTCATTAGCCATCTTCCCACAACACCCCCCCTCCCCCGCTTCACCACTTATTACAGCAGAAATTGCTTCTCACTTTGGCTCCTCTAAGTGAGCAGATGCTGTTTCTTAATACTTGCCAAATACCTGTGTGAGTAAATGTCTATACTGAACATAGTTAGGCCCAGTCTTTGCCCCTGAGGAACAAATACACTTATTAGGGGCATGTGCATCTCTACAGCTCACACAGGTTAGTGGCATGTACTGGCTACTGATGTCTTTCAAACATCCTATTTTCATCTCATATCTTGATAAAGGGATGTTGGCAATTCAGAGGCTTTCTATAAATTCTGATAATCAATTCTTGAAATTACAGCATGAGAACAAACATCATATTTCATATTGTTGGGTCCCAAATATGGAGGCCTGCAGTTCCTATAGATACTTTCCCATCAGCAAGCCAAGAACAGAAGGGCCATACAGGCAGTCTATACTCCCTGGAGCCACACCAGAAGGGCTTAGGTTAGGACTTAGGGTGGGATGTATTCCAGGCTAACTTCTCCCACACTGGGGTCAGTGGACATTCAGTAGAAAAGCAGTTCCTGGAGGGAGTTTTCAAAGAGCAAAGCACTTGCCTATCATCTGCCTCATCAGGGAAGAGTGTATGCCTGGTCTTTGCAGAGCTGCCCTGATAGGGAACAGGAGGACTTGGGACTCCAGAACCAACTGGGCAAAATACACCCAGTCCAGAGGCTTCATATGACCACACAGCACAGAGGAAGAGATGTTTGACTCTTTTACGTTTAAGCAGATATGATTTAGATTAGGTCCTCTGATCATCATCTTTACTGAGAATAGAAAGAGAGAACATGATCTAAACTTAGCGCCAGTTCAGAGAATTGTTTGACAGTGTTGGGGCAGGAACCTCTATCCTGTGTACTCTGCATATTTTTTAATATCTCACTTAATCCACCCAGTTAAATATCATTTCTGTTTTACACAGAGGTTAAGTGGTGTGCCCAGAGTCACATAGTTAATGGCCAGAATTTGAGCTTATATCTTTTTCTGCTAACCTCCCCTGTGTAGGGTGTTTGGTCTCCGTAGCAGTGGATCTCAACCCTGGCTGTACATGAGAATAACTTGGGGAGAATTTTAAACTCCCCATGAACAGGACATACACAGATCATTTGAATCAGACTTTCAGTGGAGAGGCCCCACACATAAGTGGTTCTCAAGCACAGTTGAGGTTAAAAACCTCTGCTCTTTAAAAGAACAGAGATTTCCCTTTAAAAGTAGGAGATCCTTTTCAAGATAGCTTTAAAAGAAGACTGTTCACATGTCTGGGGAGAAGTCAGAGTGGCCTTTTTTAAGTGAAAAAGGACAGGCTTAATACCCTTATATTCCAGCCCATCTGCTGGGACCACACAGGGCCACATCTCTACCTTCTGTGCCAGTACAGAGCCTCCTGTTCCTCCTCTCCCCCTGCAGCAAGCCCATTTCCTGTTTATATTGGCCTTTTAACCACAAGGTATTACTGCACACCCACCCACATAGTTTTGTAGGCACTCCCTTATCTAGATCTGACCAGTGCCTTCCTTCTAACACAGCTGCCAGCCCCCAGCAATGGTCTTGGCTAGAGCCCAGTCCTCCCAGAGCCAGAGGGAAGTGGTGCTAGGATCTGCCCCAGCACTGCAGGCAGAGGCAGAGCTGCAGTGCCCTGCCCTGACTGATCCTTAGGCTCTCCAGTATCCTCCACTGCCATCCTGCCCCTTTAATTAAATCCTCCTGGTGCCTGAGAAGGAGGCCTAGGCAGAGAAGCCCACATTCTACACCAAAATTCCCACTGCTATCCCATTCTGACAGCCCTATTCCTACCCCTCTCCTTTCCTCCTCTGCCCTCTAGCTCTCAGCTCTGAGCATCCCTGGGGCTACAATAGTACGTAATAATACCTACCAATAGTTGAGCACTCTGTTAGGACAGCTCTGCACTAAGCATTTACGTACTGCATGTTATATATCCTCAACAACTATTCAGTGAGGCAAACTGTTGCCCCTCTTACCGATGAGGAGGTAGGGACTCAGTTATCAAGTGGCTGAGCTGGGATTTAAACCCCATCTGTCTGATCCATGGGACTAACTTCCTCTTCAAAGTTATCTTCCCCTTCCACAGCCTCTTCCAGCTTGGTCTCTCCTCACCTTCTAACCCTCCTGATTTCTACTGAATATCATACATTCCTCACTTGTCCTGTACAGGAGAAGCTGCCTCAAATCTCCATCCTCACCCTCTTCCTCCATCCTCACCCATAGCAAAGGATCTCCTGTCACATCAGGAAAATAGAGGCCAATGAAGGCCCTTCCCTTCCCTTTCCTGGAGCTCCAAACTGGTCACATTCTCACCTATGCCTATCTCAGAGTAGGAGCCGCTCACTCCTTCCCACCGCCATGCAATCCTCCACCCTAGTAGCCAGACAGTCATCCCCTCCATTCCATAAAGTCACTTTCTCAAGGGCTTCTTGGGAGCTGTTCTATTTTCCTCTGACTGACCCTCTAACTGCCTAGCCCTGCTTGATGCCCTTTCCTCTATCTACATTTTAAACTCTGAGGTTTCCCAAGACTCTGTCCTCTCTTTATCCTTCATATCTTGTCCCTACACAATCTCATCCTTGCCCAAGCCTTTAGCTATTAACTGTGTGTTGTGGGTCTGGCTTGACCTCTCTGAACACCAGGGCTTGTTTTCCAACTGCCAATGACATGACATCTTACAGAAACCTCAGTTTCAAAGACCACAAAGCCAGAGATGTCTCCATTCCTCAAGACCAGTTGCTCCTCCTGGGTTCTCTGAGCACCATCATTATCTCTCCCCTCTTATTCCCCAACAACTGGTCCCCAAGCTCTGTCCTTTCTAATTATGCCATGATTTTGGATTTGTTCTCTCCTACTCCTGGGTCAGAATCCCCTTGGCTCAGTAGGAGAGTTATGGCCCCCTCCTCACTCTTCCTCTGCTCTGTGGTCTTACCCTATGGCAGTTCACTTCCCACACAGCAGCCATAACGATTGTTCTAGAAGACAGACCTGGTCTAGACCCTGTCCTCCTCCATGGCTATCCTCTACTGATTTGATCAAGCTTCATGTCAAGGCCCCTCTCCATGTAATCAGCTGCTTATCTATCCCCCTGCCCAGCCAGCCCTTGCCTTGCTATTCCTCAAATACACACATCCGTTTACACACTGGCCATACCCACACTCAGCCATATTTGTCTGCCTACCTGGATTCTTCTCCTACTTCTTTCTCAATCCTTTTCCAGGTACTATTGCAATAGAAGAGTTACTTATTTCCCATAGAGGAGACCATAGAAGGGCTATTTGTGGTGACTCTGTTAAATGTATAGGTCCTTTTGCACAATGAAGCTGTTCCCACAGGCAGTAAATATGAAGTTAATGAAGTACTGAATAGGAGATAGAATTAGATTTACAGAGACATAATCAGGATAGCAGCAGGAAAGACATAATCAGGAAAGTAGCAGTTCTGGTACCATCCCCCCAATCCAGAACAGCTTTTCTTCAAGATCCCCAAAGTCAGCATCCCTACCACAGTCAGGAATGACTTCCCAAGTCAAAGGGCATGAGAGAGAAAACGTGTGAGAAGCAGTTGGCTAGTTTTCAAATGTACCAGTAAGGGGTGTTTGTGTTCAAAACAGTCTGGATTTGCAAGACTATTTTTATGCTAGAAAGAATCCCAAAAGACTAATAAGTGAACATGGTTCCTAAAAGGGGGAGGCTGCTGGTGAATGAGGAGAGAAGTGCCTTACTTGAGTTTCTATTGAAGGGGTGTGTCAGGGTGCTCCAGGCTGAGGTTTGTGAGCCCAGTGTGGCCCTGACATGGAGACTGTATGGTACAGTGGCTGTGATATCCTCAGTAAGATCACATTCAGTCTTCTCTGTGAGTGAGCACCAGCTGCTGGGGATCCAGACATCACTCAGGTACAGTCTCTCATACTCCCTGGCAAAGGAGAGGAAAGCACAAAGTCACACCAGCCCTTTGGTCCAGACTCAATGATGATTGCCAGTAATTGCATTCATTCTCCTACTTTTTATAGGTTAGCAAAACAAGCATTTTCTTCACACCCCAGTTCCTCCACCAACCATCCAGTCTCTCTTACTCCTTTGCTTACCTCATGGGGAGGCATAAACCTCAATCTGTCCAGATACCTTCATCTCCCCTCAGCACCCTAATCTCAGTCACTGTTATCCCTTGCCCTTCTGTGGTTACCAAGCTTGCACTTTTGCCATCCTTCAAATCTTTCATCACTCAGCAGATCATAATGCTTCTCGCCTTAATGGCTTCCTGTAGCACATAGAATGGAGTCCAAACTCTTCTCCATAGCCTGCAAGACCTTGGCCTGATCTCTCACTCCCTCCTAAGCATGATGTTCTCACCACACTGTTTATTCCTCCAAAATGCTGAGTTGTTTTTGCCTTAAGACTTCTGCTAGCTACTCATTCTGTCTCAAATGTTCTGCTCTGCTGGCTCCTCCTGTCCTTCATATATGGCGTAAATATTACCCAATATCACCCAAAGCATCAGTCTTTCAGATTCTTCCTAGCACTGATCACTATCTGAAATTTCCTGTGATACTCAATGGAAAACTTCTGTGATGATGAAAATGTTCCAGATTGATTATGTTCACTATGGTAGCCACTAGCCACATGTGGCTATTGAACACTTCAAATGTGACTAATGGGACCAGGAGATAAACATTTTGATTAATTTAAATTAAAATAGTCACCTGTGGCTAACGGCTACCACATTGGAGAATGCAGACCTCGTATATTTACTGTCTATCTCCTCCTCTAGATGTAAGGTCCCAATATCCACAATATTTGTCAACTGTATCCCTCAGCCTGGAAAAACATATACATATCTAGGTGTTAAGTTTGTATTCATTGTTAATGAAATGCATCAAGCATCTTCTGTGTTCTTGTCACTCCTCAATAGCAGCAAGCACCTGGATACCTGTAGAAGACCAGAGCTTTCTTGGGCCCAGGTCCTACTGACCTTTAGGGTCATGGCTTGTTTTAGCTCCTATGTGTAAGTTCCTTGTTAGGAAACCTGAGGCCACCCCAGCCCCCAGAACTCTAAGTCTTCTAGGGTTTATCCATTTTAAGTCAGAGACAAATTAATTAAACAGGTGACTCACTGTTGAAAAGAAGCTCCACGAAAATGTGTTCATACACATTTGTGTTTCCAAAGAACCCACTGTCAAAGCCAAGAGATAATTTCCCTTGTTCCTTCAAATCTCTCAATGCTCATGCACACAGAGGGGGCAGTTTGTGGGACGTAATCTACTCCTGGACTCACAAAGCTTCCTTGGGCTGAGGAGGAAGGGCTGTGCTTTCCAGAACCAACTGCTAAGCAATCCCCTTAGAACCAACTACTAGCTAAGAGAGAAAAACTGTTTTAAAAAAAACAAACTCACCCCTGGTACTCAACAGAGTAGTACACTGTTTCTCCAGGCACGATCACTGGGCTCCACATCAAAAAATGTTTCATGTTGGTTGAATGTACAGAGAGGTTCTGAGGGGCAGGCAGAATGGCCACTCCATCTGGGATCAAGGCAGATAGACAGGCTGACAGGTGGGCTTGTAGTGGGGAGAATGCACAGTTTCAAATTAGTGTCTAATGAAAGGTCTTATGTATTTATGAAGCAGAAACAATGTTTAAGTTTTTCTGTATCATTATTATCATGCCTTTGGTAATAAAGTGGCATATTAATAGTGAATAATATTTACTGGGCACTTACCATGTTCCATCTAGGCCATGTCCTGAAACAGTAACATGATTATCTCATTTAATCCTCAAGCCATACTGGGAGGTAAAGACTATTAGTTTCTGTGCTCTAAATGAGAAAATTTATGCACATTATATATGGCCCTTTTTAAAAAAAATCACTTATGACTCTTACATCTGATTGACGTAGGTCTGGGCCTTAACTCTGACTCTGCCACTTACTATGTGACCTTAAGCAAGTTGCATAACCCTGACCCTCCCACCCCTTCATATTAGGTTCCTATCAGCTTCTCATCCCCTCCTTCTCCTCCTACTGCCATCCTCAGATACCAAACATATCGCCTCATGTCCTCCCACAAGGTGCAATGGAGCATCACCTTCCAGGTGGGAAGTACAGGCTCAGGTCTGCTGTGGACAGAACTCAGTCAAGAGGGACACCAAGCCAGCTCTGGGACTCCACTGCAGGAAGTATGTAGGCCCTTGAGGCAGCCACAGACACAAGCATCTGCTCACATAGATATGCACACAGGGGGTCTAAGATTTGCACAGAATTAAAGAGGCCCATAAGCTATATCTGCTTATGAGAACTTTGGGTAGCCTCAAAGCCCAAAGTCCAAAACTTATCCTCACATGTAACCCCAGGGGGCAGACAAGACTCTCTGCTATGGTCTTTCTCTTCCCCTCTTCACATATTCATCTTTTAATGCCCAATACTTGCCTCTTTTTGCTATTTCAGTCATAGGCCTAGGACATGGTATAGATAGAACGTGGACAGCAGGGTGGAAGTGGAGCTGTGACCCTCATTCAGAACTTTTCATTTCCGTGCCCATCTCCAGAATGGCCCCTGCTGTTTGCTATCAAGCCCTGTAATCACAAGGGATTGGGGGGCTGTTGGGGATGCCCAACCTGATTCCCTTGCCTCTTCCCTAATGTGCGACCCTGGTGGTATACCTCCCTCTCTTCCTCAGCATCCATTGCATAAAAAAACCACCTGAGGCACCCACATAGGAGGCTTCCTGACCTCCTTGCCCCTAACCTTGAAGCTGTGTAAGAGAAAGAAAGGAGGCTCGGCACCTATAGCTCAACCGGCTAAGGCGCCAGCCACGTACACCTAAGGTGGCGGGTTCGAATCCCCAGCACAGACCCGCCAAACAACGACGGCTGCAACCAAAAA